AATAATAACGGAGCAAACAAACTGATCGACAGACAACTTTAAACCTAGCGATCGCATCTCTGATTCAGTTCAGCACTCGCTGTGACTTCTCTCCCCTCATTGCCACTCAAATCAGATAATACAGATCTTCGTCGAGACATCTCGCGCAGTAAAACAAAAATCTTTGAAAGAAAACTACATGTAGTTGACAATGGTGGTGTATTCAGCCACGGTTATTGGTTCAGCAGCTGAGCAAGAGAATGACCTTCCATGGAGGGCAATGTATGGTAATGAGTCTTCCAGAAAAGGAGTGTCTCCTCCCACAACGTATTAATGAATATGTAAATCATGACGTCATTTTGGCGCGGCTTTGTCACGCCGTGAAACAGTGTTTCCTATTTGATTCGGGAGCATTATTTCGTACTTTATAACCAATTGCCACCATGCATATCTACACATCTGCGTGATTATGACAGACAGATACCATGACTATTCATTAAGAGTTTGTTTTGATCCATAGGACAAACGGATTTTGAGTTAGCCGACGATACGTTGCTGCTAAGTTGTTTTTGCCATTTTCTCGGTTAAACAAAACAGCGATTCCCGGCAACTGCAGGCCTTTGATCTCGAGTTTTAGTGGACGCATTATTCTAATTTTTCGCACAGACACTCTTCGATATGTTCATTCTCAAGCTGCGCTGGGATTTTTCTATTTTCCTATTTGTTTCGAAATTACGTTCTAATTTATGAATACCGGAAAGAACCAGATCGCATAGTTTTTTCAAAATAGCTAAATTATTATTTCTTCTCCAACTATCATGTAGATATATATCTCAATTAACACGGAATGGTGGTGAGCGTCGTCTGAAAAACAATCTTGTTGCCAATGATCCACTAAATTTGTTTATTCATTGGTTCAATTATTTTTTTACCAAAAATGTAAACACAGAAATCACGTGACTATACACGTCCATACACACACTATCTTGTCGATTTCATATCCAGTGTGAAATAAGCTTTCCATCAATATATAGCTTTGTGTGGTTCAGTAAATATTTTATTTGAAAATATCAGTTTAGAAAATCAATACCAAAAACGTGCACAGCATCCTTAAACATGAATAGTTGCATCAAATACTGAATAGTCAAAAATCTAAAGTGCAGATTCAAAAGTCCCATTCCTGTTTCTTCTCAAACTACTTCAAACTTTATATATATGTGAGCGAGTTATTAAGGTAGACAGAACTGAAATACCAAGCCAGAATTGATATATGAAGTTAAATAAATGCAGAATCTCATTTCAGTATCTTCTTTTCATTTCAGAACATAGTAATAGCAGTAGTGGTGCTAATGACTCAAATTTTGATGAACTCTGTAAAATTTGTATGAGTAGTCCAATCGACTGTGTACTTCTAGAATGTGGTCATATGGTGACGTGTACAAAATGTGGCAAAAGAATGGCGGAGTGCCCGGTTTGCCGCCAGTTTGTCGTCAGAGTCGTCCACACATTCCGCTCCTGAGAAGGGACTTCATGCATTATCTTCAATAGGCTCTTAAACTGGAAGTCAAGATGTGTGTATTTTTTAATATAACAGGAAATAGAATTGTAGAAACAGTATATTTTGAAATTGACTGCCATTGCAGTCTACCTCTCGCTATTATTGTAAAAGCTGTATTAGAAGCTGCGACTTGTATTAAAATGGTACAATACAACAGAAGGAATGTGGCTTCCATTAGAACATCCACACATACAAGAAATGGTGAAGTTTTGGTTCTCAATTATTATTTAAAAAGAATGGGTACAACTTCTAGGGATGCAGCTTCTAAAAGAGATATTTCAGATAATAGCATGTTGTAAGAATCATGTGAAAATCTGTATGCTAAATATCACTATTTCATTTTGCAAAGTATGCAAATTAGTCCTCCTTATTCATTGTTAAGTAACGTGATAAACATGCATGATTAGACAAGACTAAAAAAAAAAAACATATCAGATTTTTGCCTTTACTCCCACATTCAGGTAAAATGACTGAAAACATTCCGCTGGTTGAACTATATATAGACTCTAAAAAGTTCTGTTTAATTTGAATGTTTCCTGGAATAGCATTCTTGGAGTAAATGGCACCTCTCTCACATATAGTAGTTTATGTGATGCAATGTAGCGGTATTGCTGTCAGCAGCTGTAATGTTAGCACGTAGTCTAGTCGTTTATCGGACGTCATAAATAAATACAGATCAGCTTATGATTCCAACGTTAGTAAAGTCATGGTTGTAATGAACAAATTACATTTACTGACCAAGAGTCTCTCTAATTTATCTGCCCGATTCATTACTTAACTTGTGGTTTTTTCATGTATATTTTTGATGCATACATTAATTACCAAGAATGTACATTTGTCAGGAATCAGGAACAAAAATTGTCCTTATAACTTGCTGTTGAGTAATCATATTTCTGTTCATTTTGTGATTCAATTTGGTAAAATTTAATGATTTTTTTCATCCCAAAAATACACCTTTTATTGTTTTCATGTGATATATATTGTTTTAAACATTGCATTTTCGTTGTTTTGTATTTTTGTTACTGACTCTCTATGCTGATTCACTATGCTGAGTAATTTCACCAATAGTGACTTTTTCTTTACAACATCTACTTTAATGCTTATAAAAATGTCATTTTTATAGACCTTATTATTATTTGTACTAAATCATTGTCAGTGTTGTAACCTGAGATCATTCTTAAAGCTTTATTGGGACTATTATGCGAAATATTTGATAAACTGTATAATTACTACATATTCAAATTTCAATAATTTCTGTCTGAAAGTTGGTGATTATTGGGTACCCATTTGACTTCGAATTCTATTTTTAATCCTTTTAAGATTCCCTTCTGATTCACAGTAATTTGGAACAAGTGTCAATTGATGAAATTCTCTGAATATTTTGCACAATTCACAAAAATTCAAACTGTCAAATGCGTCACATAATAGTCAAAAGACCTCAATACAGTTACCATAACTATCTTTGATTTAAAATGTCAATCTGTGGAAAATGACTGGGCTGGACAAAGTAAAAGACATGTAGGTGATATCTTAAAACTTGGTGTTACAATCCAACTTAAGATACTGCCGAGTTTATTTCAAGCAGTCTAGGGAGTTGAATGTAAGTGAAGCAGTTACAGTTAGGGAGTGAAATGCTATTATAATTTTGTTGTGAGTCTGCTAAAAATCACTAAGTTTACAGCAGTGGACATTTCACTAAGGTCTTTAAAACATGGAGTTTTTGTGAATGCTCTTATGATGGGAATGCTTGACAGTGCTTCATGTCACATTGACAAGTGCTGACATGTTTGTTTTGATCGTAACATATCAACCTAATACACTATGTACTACCTTAAACATATTTGTTTGAATATGAAGAAAGATATTGATTCATATTTTGTTGTTGATATCATATCCCATGATGCAATAGCAACAATTAAGATAATGTATATCTATCAATGAATAGTTATATTATTTTACCACAAAATTTTCTACTTCATTTGTGATATATTTGTGTTGATTTTAATGTTTCATGCGATACAAGGTGGAAAATTAGCGCCCTCATTTCATCTTTCCTGGAATGAACAAATGTAGAATACTACACACAGACATGATTAGTTATTACAACTCTATATTTTAGCTTGGTCACATGTTTGTTTGCAGTCCACTGTGTTTGCAGTCCACTGTGTAGTTTTATGTTATGTTTTGTATAAAGTTTGTTTCACATTTATAGTCTGGATTAGCCTTTAATGAATTCCATTTGTTAAAGGGAGGGTTAAAAGTGGTCGTTGCACAGCGAGGGTTTTAATTTTGTTTAAAACAAACAATGAATTTTATATGCGTTGTGTACGTTGCTGTGAGACTCGTATCATACAGGACACAGCACGGCTACCACTTCCCACAATTCACAAATATTCTTACCATCAAATATGTCACATAATAGTCACAAGTTTTATATTGTGTTGTGTTTCTTATAAAGTTTCTTTTCACAATTAAAGTCTGATTTAGTCTTTGACATCACAAAAAATATTTTTTTATAAACTAATTGTGTAATCTTTTCAGTTTTTCTTGTTGGTGCAATAATATTTCCATATTGAATTCTAATACTTCTGTTGTGTGTGTATTAATATTTAAAAATATGCTTTATTACAAATTTTAATAACTGCCAAAATTTGTTTTCTACCATAATTAGTATTTTTTCTGATCATTGTTTATGGGCTGAGATTGGAAGAAAAGACAAAATGAGTACATTGTTAATTTTTTTTTGTTTTACATAATATGCCTGTCAAAATCCTGTCAACTGACACTGGTCTTGCGATCGGTTGTTTACTTGTACTATGACTTAAATTGCATCTGTGCATAGAGGGCGCTCTCACGGTTGTTTACATATTGGCAGTAAACCAGTTTTTAGTGATTTGCTAAAAAGTTGCGCATTTACAGACAAGCTATAATTTTAAAAAATATTTATCATGCTTGGTCATTTTTAAAAGATTTTATGTGATGGTAGTTGACTGAGTAATGTTTATTTCATTGGAATGAACTGCTAATGGTACAGAGTTCATGCAACGTAGGTGAAAACAAATAATAATAAAAACAGATTGCGCACATGTATAGATATGATAAATCTTGTAAATTGAATGTGATTATAATCAAAACTCAGAACAATCATTTGTAGTATTGAGATGTTATTATTTCTGTGCAAGCAATAATATACATAGGGTGGTAGTTATTTGTACCAATACATTGGATCAAAAATAACATGATATCTTTTGTGATTATAATATATTTGGAATGGTTTATCTTTGTAATAATAATAAAAATAAATATATTTTTGTTTCTTGTATGCAGGTTTTTGTGCATTCTTAATTAGTCAATGTTACCAAACTTTCTCTATCTTTCACCCCACAATGCTTTAGTCGTTTTAGTAATGTATATTATACACTGAACTGCTCTATTTTACAAGAGAAAAATTCATTAATTTCATATATTTTCATGAAATATATAAAAAAAATTGTGTAAGTGAACATTTCTTTTACATCACCTTTGATCTGTTTGAACTTCAGAAATACTGTAATAAATGTTAACCGCTTAATTTTCATTGATAGAAATTTTATAATGTTGTGATATTTGTGATGACACTGATGCACTGTGTTATAGGAGCCCTGAGAAATCTTCAATACTCTGAAATGTCATGACTAGCATATTTCATGGAAATTTGTCTCACATAAAGTAGTTTGCAGTATTTCCACACTTTATGGAACTATTTGTAAATTCTTATTATTTAGTTGATGCGAAGGATTATAGTATTATTATCATTGAATCGTCTTTGTTGGCAGACCAATGAAATTGACCAATTTTTAGTCATACTTAAAACAATCAAACGTTCTTGTAGCATACTGTAAAATACTTTATTTTCACTTGGAATTAATTTTCTCTGAAAGAATGATTCAGTGAAAATACAATCCAGCAAATATACCTTTTTTCCATATTTTACATTCAACTTGTCATAAATCAGTGGAAATAAATTCCATACAAAACACCGGAAAAGACTTTTCAGCAAAAACTAATTCTAGCTAAAATAAAGTATTTCACAGTAAGTGAATCTATTTTAGTTTGTTTTCATGGATAAAAATCTACAGTTATCAACAATTTGTAATTCATGATTATAATATTTTCAGTGATGTCATTTTATATGCATATTGACATATATCTTGTCATATTTTTAATGGTATTGTTTATTTCAACAAAGAGTTTAAGATATTATTGGTATGCCATTCCATTTTTATCTTATCCATTGTGAGTTGCCAGCAGATTTGACCCCCAACTTCCTGCTTTGGCTGACCTGGTCTTGTAACATTTATAAAAAATTATATAATCATGTGGTTAACAACAAGTGTCAAAATTTGATGATTTATTAAAGTTTATTAACATTTATTGTTGATACAATTCTGTAGGTTTGGATTGTACCCAGAAAGTTGTCATTCAAATATTTGAATTTGAGACTTGTGGATTTATTGTTTTGTTTTGCTGATGTTACACTTTCTCCTGACTTAAGCAGCCTGGCTCAAATAAACTTGATTTACACATTTCACAAATTGTGTTGTAAGATTACTTGATTGACTGACATACCTTTCAGGAAGAATTAAACCAATGTGCCATTTTGTTATTTTATTGGACAAAGCAAAGATTATAACAGGTTTTACAAATAAAAATGTGTTTATTGTGTGTGTTTGTTTGGTAAATGTCGTTTTTTTTGTTCACGAGAAAGATGTATGAGAGCATGCAGACAAGATGATATTTTGTAATCAATTGTGAATATGGCTATGTGCCTTGCTGTCCATATATCAAGATTTACACAAATGTCCATGCAAAGATTGGTATAGGAATCATAATAGAGCAGGTTATAAGAAGTGATCATATGTAATGTTAATTTTTTTTGGTGAAGTTAGAAACCAGATTCAGCAAAATAGCGTATGTGGTGAGATTCTGTTAATGCGGGAGGGTTGTCACCTGCGCACATCCAGGAATTGTGTTTCAAGCAACTATAACATCACACGCTAAAAATGCAAAGACTCATGGGTAGACTCAGGTGACAACTCCCTCGCTTTAATGTGATCAATAAGTTAAGTATGGTGTTTTGTTTGTGTTTAAAAATATAAGATAAAGTTATTAGATGTCATTTACAAATAAATTGATGTCAAAAGGATGACCATTATCGGATGAAACTGAAGCATTGTTGAAACATTCCTAAGCATCTACAAAAAAAATTACAATTTCAAATTTAGGTCTGAGCATCCATTAAAGGGAAATGCAAATAAGGTGCACTATAAGGTGTAAGTGTGGTGAGTCTACTCGTAAATAACAAGACATTAGAAATGCATTGTCGTAATTGTAAGACTGTTGGTTAAGTTAAGAAAACATTTGTGTGAGTTTAAATCACGTTGATGAATAGAAAATTAAATTCCTAACCGTCAGATATAAATATGAGATATTATTTTTAAAATTTAATTAAAAAAACAACTAAATATTAAAGTGATTCTTCATAACGTCAATCCTTAACAATATAAAGTGTCATATCCACAGGTAGGCATTCATAATATTTGATCATCAGAGTTCTCTTTGCATAAGAGTAGGGTCTTGGAGTGTTTAACGTAATTTTTTTAGGAAATTCTACCTTTTACATGCTATACAGCCATTTTGATTTTATCCGACAGCTGATATTCAAACGGTTGTTGGTCACGTAACATCATGTTAATTTGACATGATGTATTTTAACTATTGGTATATAAGTTGCATGTTAGAACTTTTGTTAGATGTGTGAGCCGGGACAGCTTGCTATTCCAAAGGTTCATTAGTCTGACTGTTTTAAATGACAAAAGAATCCCATATATTGTTAAATTTTGAACACACCTTTGTATATTTTGTCATTCCAAGAAAATCGTCGGACTAATTTAGAAGTAAGCTTATGTGTCATGCGTTTGTTAGCTAAATTAATAAAACATCATCAGAAAAATTACTTTTCCCAAAATATTGGTGTTTTTCTGTGTTACTCATTCATAACCAGTGCCTGTAATAAATGTTACTATTGATTGGTTGCACAGCTGCTGATTCTGTTTTTCGTACAGATAGATGTTTGTTTCCTTAAAAGTCTTCATCGTCTTGCGGGTTGGTTCCCGGGGGTGGGGTAGTGATATATAGCTGGGTATGGAGGTTCCCCTGAGCCTGACTATTTTTATACCAGTGTATCTACACCAATACTTATACCAAACGAAGAAACGCAATGTCAGTCTGCAAATTTTATATACAAACTGTGAAAGCTCTAAAATGTGAAAGTGAAGACAGTACAGCGTTCTGGCTATAGTAAACAGTGAGTGAATAAATATTGTACGAGTTAAAACTAAATGAGAAATATGCTAATATCACTTGAACCACAGTACTCATTTTGCCCAACTTCTCCCTTTTTAAACGATCGCTTAATTTCCGACCGCACTGTATTTTCCGACCGGAAAACGACCACATTTTTACCGTTTTTTTTTCTCTCGCTCGCTTATTGAAAACACCGACCGCTCGCCCAAACACTGGTCACTGGCACAGGAGTAGTCAAAATGTTTGGGGTTATACAAAGAAAATTCTGAACGGCTCTTCAAATCTATACCACTCTGTATGTTCGCGAACAACTTCATCTGTGTCAAATACTAGAGCCGGTACAATATTGTAAACAAATGCCATGATATCTCAGTCATATTCGCTATTGTATACACTACCTTTT